CCTCGCCGGCCTCACGCCCGGCTCGCTCTCTTTTGCAGGACTACTCCAAGTGCAAAGAAATCATGATCGAGCGAGGGGAGATTTTCCTCAGGAAGGTCTCCCTGTCGAGGAACAAGATCGCCAAGCTCTGCCATCCCTTCATCAGAGACGGTGCCGTAAGTAGGCCGAGGCGGCGTTGCTCTTGTGCGGGTGCCCCGCTGCTTCCAGCGGTGGCGAAGCTGGAGGGGAGTGACATTTGTTAGCATCCATTTATGACAACGTCGTCTGATGGTGGCTTTTGTGAATACACAGGCATAACGTCACCCATTGCTTTATTTTCTTAAGACTTCCCCTCCCCCTACCTCTATTTCTCTGCAAAGCAGCATTAACTTGTGGCCTACTTGTAAGAGGTGCTGAGGAGTCTCAATGTGAACTCTCCATTGAAAGTATTAGATCCTCGGCCCCCTCGGCAGCATCAGGGCTGTGTAAAAACCTGCCATGTAAAGTCCAGCTCAGAGTGGTTTGCTGTCCTATAATTTGTATAATACAAATGGCGTACAGTATTATTTAAAGTTGGCGGACAGTTGTGTGAAGTAAAACCCATGACACAACAACAACAAAAGTTCTCGGAAGCTCAGCAAAAAGTAACGTGTTTTTTTTTGACAGCGAATATTGACACATGCCTACTCAAGAGTGGTCCTCAGAGTGTTAGAAGCAGCTGTTGAGTCAAAGAAGCGATTCAGTGTTTATGTCACTGAATCACAGCCAGATCAAGCAGGGCAAGTACACATTAATTTTGTGTTTTATCTGTCAGCCAGCATCACATCTGTCATATCTTAAGAAAAGCTAAGTTTATTTGCATCATTTTCAAGGGTAACTGTACCACTAATAATGTAACATTGTTCCAGACAAGTAAACATAAATATTGGCAATTAATTTTCTGTACTAAATAACCTCATTACACTGCTGCCTGGTTATTGGCAATTAATTTTCTGTACTAAATAACCTCATTACTCTGCTACCTGGGTTTTCCTCAAAGGTTTACAAACCTTCAGTCAGTGCCGATTTACTTTTTTCCTTTTTTGACGGGAGACGATTGACTTCTGGTTGTCAGCTTCAGAAGCAGGCCAAAATAGTCAGTATAATCTTTAAGCATACAAAGTAAAATATTTAGCTAACAACGTCGTTTGAAGATGCCAGATAACGTGTGTTACTGATAGCAGGCTTTCCCTCTCCAGAGAATACAGTTGCATGCGGGACATAGCTATACGTACTCGTGTTGCTAACCAGTCTTTCACTAGCATAAAGGACGTTTAGCTAAATGAAGTACGTATGATCTATCAGGGTCACTAAAATAACTTCTAGCAATACAGCCCATGCTTTATTTCTTGTGTCTTGTTGATGGAAAAGCAGAGACAGCTTAGGTAATCAGCGATCTTAATAATGTTTCCCTGACTTATCTTTCTGTAGCTATAATTCCAGACTGCTAAAACTGACTTGACTTTGTCAGGTTTGTCATAATCTGTTTGTTTCCATTTCTACACAAGAATTTATTTTCCTTTAGGGGGAACATCACAAATCAAAACTACTGGCGAGGGAACGTGGGCAGTCATGGGTTTCACTCCTTCAGACAATATTTTTCTAGCGGTCTTTAAAGAAAGACTTTTAAGCTTCAAACATGCTGTTTTAATAGGCAAAAAATGGCAAAAGCTCTGCGCAAGTTGAACATTCCTGTGACTGTGATTCTAGATGCTGCAGTTGGGTAAGTCTGATCACTAAATCTTAACACTATTCATCCCAATTTTACTTTGACAGAGTTATATATGAGCTTTATAGAAGCTTGTTCAAAGTACAGAGATTGTTACTTAGTCTGTCACAGTCACCAAACAAGCTAAACAAGTTAAACCTTTTGGTGCCCAATTAGGAGAATATGCCTGCTATAAAACGAGTACTTGATGCTTGCATGAGAATGAAGTCAGGCCTAAGTACAGAACTTGGGTGGGGATACACAGAAAAAGGAACTGGGGTGCTATGCAAAAAGGCTACCTTTTTTTCTAATTTGCATACTGTAAGCACTAGCATTTTTTAAACTGATTGATTGCTAAATCACTACTGCTTAGTGTATGTAAGTACAAAGTATGAGAAAGGAAAGAACTATTATAACTAAATCCCAGTTCCTACATTAGTGCAAAATGCATGTCAGAATGCCTCCAAGAGAAGAAAACATACCAGTCTGCTTACCAAGGCAGCTGTAATCCAGTGCAGAGGGTGGCTTGACTGGACAAATCTGAAAGTTTTGCATGATGCATTAACATTTCTCCTTTTCAGAATGTTTAGCTGATGGTTTGCTTTTTAGGTCTGTATTTTCAATGAGCAAAACAGGTTGAAAGAACGTAAAGAAAAGTGGACAAGATGAGGAACATCTTATGTGTTTGGCCGAGGATATTACGAGGCAGAGTTAAACTTCACTGTGTAGTTAGCATTTTATCAAGATATTCACGTTCCTGAAACTGAGGAGTATCCCTAATCAGATCCAGCTTCTCCAAGCCTTTTCCCAATTACCAACGTCAGGTCAGGCAGAAGACATAATTATTAAATATTCCTGCTTGGGAAGCAGAGGAAGGCTCATTACAAGCATATGTAACAGTATATGTACTTGCATAGGCAGCTAGGACTAGTTCAGAAAAGTGAGCGATTGTTTGAATTACTAATTCCTGTTATGTTCAATGCGTCATTTGTCATATTGCACAGTTAAGACTTGGCTTTTCCCCCCACCCACCCCAACAGCTACATTATGGAGAAAGTGGACCTGGTGTTAGTTGGTGCTGAAGGTGTAGTTGAAAGCGGAGGAATTATTAACAAGGTAATGAGCTTATTACATTATTCTGTAAACTCTAGACTCTTAAGAGTTTCTTGGAAACGTTCAGGGTTTTTTGAAAAATATTTTCTATTTGGACGTTATCCAATAGACGTCTATTTCCTATTGGAAACATGACAACATTCTGTCACACTAGCACTGAGTCTGCATGTTGTTTTCCCTCTGTCTCTACAGATTGGCACTAATCAAATCGCTGTTTGCGCCAAAGCTCAGAACAAGCCATTTTATGTTGTAGCAGAAAGTTTCAAGTTTGTAAGACTTTTCCCTCTAAATCAGCAGGATGTCCCAGATAAGTTTAAGGTAAGAGAAATTCAGATTACTTCTTACCCAGCTAAGATAAATGCTTACATATCTATGATTTTTTTTTTCCCTGAGAATGTCTTCATTTATCTGGATCTCTCTACTATACATAACATGCAGTTACTCTGTGTTACAGTCAAACATCTCATAATTTGTCTTAATGCTAGCATTTAGTTCCTAAAGCAGTTCTGTTGAGGCACAGGAGTAGCACTGGGGAAGAAACAGCTAAATCAAGACATTTCAGCAACTACAAATTTTACTCCATACAAAAGATAAAACAGTTGAGGCCAAGATGGCCCTAGCCTACGCTTCATTTATAGCGACTGACTTCCTTCACTGATACCAAGTACTCTGCTCAAGGCTAGCACTGCCCTTGCCCCAAGGAGGTTTTCAGCTTGCAGCTGTGTGGTAACTAATGGTCTCTGTTTCCTTCTAGTACAAAGCAGACACTCTGAAAACAAGTCAGAATCTAACAGAGGAGCATCCCTGGATTGACTACACATCACCATCGCTAATCACACTACTGTTTACAGACCTAGGTGTGCTGACTCCATCAGCTGTCAGTGATGAACTTATTAAACTCTATCTGTAACAAAGAGGGACTCAGTATACAGGGTGTATTATTACCTTCTTCAGTGACCATCACAGTTGTAAGAACTTGGAAGATGACACAAGTTATATGGACATGGTAAGACGAAATTGTGAGGACTGATGTAACTACCAGCCTTTTGATTTTTTAAGGCAAAACATTGCATATGAATGAACCACTGTTTTAAAAAAAAAAAAAAAGTTGCTACAGCTTCTAACAGCCTAAAATAAATTATTTAAAGAGGGGTGGAATGTTTTGATAACGTACAATAAAATACCTTACTGTGTATTCAAACTCGTTCTGAGGTATGCTGTCACCTACTGATCTGGGACAGATGTGATACCTACCTGAACAGAACAAAATGAAAAAGTGCACAAAGCTCCTGCCAGTGGGAATCTGCTGCTCCTGCCATACTGTGCAAGAGCAGTGCTTTTAGCTTTGTTCTTAACTGCAGGCTTGTTTGTATTTCCCCGAGGTATTTATGGAAGCCAGGTCTCTTATAAGAGGAAATTAGAGCCGTTTTGTTCTCTGCATCATTGTTTTGTTATAAAAATACAGTTTTATTGAAATAGGCAGTGTCTTAAGACTCTGATTAGAACAAGACTGTCAATCTTCAGCCTCCAAGTCAGACACAGTTTCTGCTTTGAGCCTACTTTGGCTGCCTGTTAGTCTCTTCTCAAACTCTTCTTCGCTAATTTTGCCCTTTTTTAATCTTTTCAAGAGTCTTGTGTCGTTCAGCAGCTCCTCCATATCTTCATCTTCAATATCGGAGCCCTGTTGACAGTTGAAAAACAACAATTAAACACAACTGTAGAGCTGAACACCCAGAAATGCCCTTCCTAGTTGACTAGTACCAGTCCTTCCATTAGTTGTCATTTCCTATGTTCATTAATAATCTTATACTGTGACTCTTTTGAGAATAAATTAATACTATTGTAAAGCAAATAGAAAACATGACACAAGCATTGCTAAAGATTAAAGGTGCTCTATAAGTAGCAGAATGAGTGAATGAAGGACAGTAAGAATAGCATTAATTAGGTGGTAGGCTTTTTCTAACCTTTATTCCTGCATAATATTAACAAGTGCCTAAGGTAAGTTTGGGTTTAAAGTAATCAGAAGTGCATACTCTTCTACAGAAAACAGCCTCTTTCTTCAGTTAAAAGGTAAAGTGCTCATTAGGGTATTTCCTCCATTGCTGTTCTTTGCCTGTGGATTTTACAAGCCACAGGGTTTGAATTCTCACAACGTACATTGTGCTTCCCGCCCCTCCTACCCCCCCACCCCAAGGGAGGTTTACAACCCAGATTTTACCAGGAGTATCCAAGCAGGAAATAGAACCCAATTCCCACATCAGAGACTTTATTTAATTCTGTTATAGTTGCTGAGAATTAAGAAAATAAAAAAATCAAGTTCTGTCCTTCTTGGCCCCCAGGCTGCCGGACCTCTGAGAAGCGAAACCTGGGCAACACGTGCTGACAGTGTTATTCATGAGCACCAGAGCACTGAGAACTTCCTTTTAGGGTTTAGCTTTACAGAACATCTTTAAAACTTTTTAGGCTTTGCCTATAGGGGTCCTAGAAAGTCAACGTAGACAGTCAGTGATTCTGCAGTGCACACAGCTCCTGTCAAACTAAAATCCCATTGCTTTTTGCCTACTGAAAGCATGTACCTATGCTGTTGTAATGGCATGCAGTTTAATATAATGGGCAGAGTTTACCTCTTCACGCTTCCTTTTAGCTGTTATTTTCTTTTTCTTTTCCCTTTTGGCTTTTTGCTTTGACCAGGCTTTGTTCTTTATGAATTTCTTCCTCTCTCCATTTTCCTGTCTTTCCTTTCTTTGTTGTTCTAATTGTTTTTGTCTCTGTTTTTCTCTATTTTTATCCTTAAATGGAATGGAGTCAGTATTAATAGTAACTGGAATAAAGTCTGAAAAACATTTTCCTCTTAGCTCAGGCATCTTTGGCATCTTTAGCAAGGCAAAACCTTTGGCAAGACTAGCAAAATCCAGATCTGTTAAAATAAAGATTGTAAAGTCAGTTTCTTGCTGGATAAAAAGTGAACCTAACTTAGCAAATCACAGAAAAGCATCTTGCTATATTGCTTACATTCTACACTTAATACTGGTAACAAAACACTTTTTTTTTATGCTTAAAGTCAGTTTTGGTCTCACCAGCCCCTTCTGCAAAAAACAGATCCAGGCCTTTCAAAAGAACTCTGTATTTCCCAGGGGCTTGAGAGGTGCTCATCTCATTTAATTTGCAATTAATTACTCTTTGGGGCTTTGATTTCCAAGGGAGTGTTTCAAGTCAAAAAACCAAACCAAACCAAACCAAAAAAACCCTACCAACAATGACAAAAATCCATGAAGTGTTAGCGTCCCCTTTTGTTGTAAAGGGCACATTCACCTTCCCTAAAGAGAAGTTTCACAGCCATTCAGTCACAATCAGCTGACTCTGACATTCAACATTCAACTCTGATGATGTCAAATACTGACAGCATCCACACTGCAGAAAGTGTGGAAAGAAAAGCTTTAAGAACAGGAATGAGCAGTTGTATCATCTGGACAATAACACTACGTTTTTTGCCAAATCAAACAACAGTCTTCTGCAGAACAGTGAAAGAGAACAGCCTCTGGTGAGAATTACCTTTTATTCGGAAGATCAGATTACATTCATGTTTGGCATAAGCCTGGATGTAAGACACAAATGCTTTCATCCCTCTCTCAAACACAGCTCTGTCAGCTAGGGCCATAGACTTCAGTTTTGGAAGAAGATCTAACACGTTTCTCTGTGGTTTCATTTCCTGCATGGGACACTGAGTATCAAAAAAGAAATATAAAGGTTCAGCTGAATGATTAAAAATGAATTATGAAGCTTCAAACACAGATGACTTCTCCAATTAATCTTCAGTGAGCTTTGAGGGCAGAGTATTTCCCCCCAGTCCTTTTTTAACACTTAGCTTCCTTCATTTCTCCTTACCCCCTCTTTTATTCAGCCATTTCAACACTCCCGTTCACCGCTCAGCCTTATAAACAATTGTTCTAGCCCAGCAAGAGGGCTCCCACGCTGCAGCTCAGGAGAGGCAACACCTTACTCTAACGCCTCATCAAGCTATATTCTCATTTGCAGGCCTCTAGAGGATTTATAGGATTAATCCCATTAATGCAGGATCAGATAACGGAAGCGATCCAAGCTATAAATAAACTTTTTCTGGCAGGTTTATTTTTCAGCAGTGCAGAGGGGCAGCATACCAAGTGGTGGTGCAGCAGAGGCAGTGGAAACCAGTACTGTGCTTCCACAAATGCTCAGTCTACACCCTTGGAAAAAGCATTTCCTTACCAGATTCATAACATGTTCCCGTTGGCTCAGTAGGTAAAACAGGCAGTAATTGTGTTCTAACAAGCAGTTGAATGCAATGAGATGAATAAGAAACTCTTGTCTTTTTTTAATCGTTTGCCTCTGCTAAAATCTATGTGTATGATCTTAAGCCCTATGAATTCTGATTTTAAAACTCCTGTCACTAAACTTCTGGTGAGTCTGTTTGTCTCCTTACCCTTTTCTGCTTAGGGGGAAAAGAAAAGTCTACTAACCTTTTGGTTGATTGAGAGGAAGTTAACATAAGATTCTTCCATGGGAAGCAAAAATACCAGTGCGCTGCCTACATTGCCAATCCGTGCTGTTCGACCACACCGATGCACAAAGGCGCTGAAACAACGTGACACAAGAGCTCCTTTAACAAGAGATGCTCAGTTTGCTGTTAAAGTATTAGATAGTGAAAGAGCAAGTTCTAGGAATGAAAAATCTAGAGTG